GGTTCAGATGATGGTTAACGTTTTTTAGCCACAAAGTTTTAAAAATTAAGGTATGTGCATTTTTTTAGACATAAAGCTATTGTATATTTGATAGACTATGCTATAGTATAAACATAACTTTTCTATGCACTGGGAAATCAGAAAATTCTTGTGATTCACTTTATTGTGATATTCATTTTATTGCAGTTGTCTGGAACCAGATCTACGATATATCAAGTATGCCTGTATTTGCCTAATTTTAAAATTAAAGACAGACTATAAAATAATCAATATAGCAGGGCATTTAAGAGTTTGGCATATGGGATTAGATCTGAGTTCAAATCCTGATTCCACCAAATTCCAGTTGTGTGATCTTGGGCAAGTGATAGAAACTTCCATCCAACTTCCCTGGTGGTTCAGTGGTTAAGAATCTGCCTCCCGTTGCAAGGGACACAGGTTCGATCCCCGGTCCAGAAAGATTCCACATGGCATGAGGTGACTAAGCCCATGAGCCACTACTAATGAGCCCACACTCTAGAGTCCACTCACTACCACTAGAGAAAAACTTGCACAGCAGTGAAGACCCAGCACAGCCATAAATAAATAAAGTCTATGCCTTTAAAAAAAAAAAAAAAACTTCCTATCTATGCCTTAGTTGACCCATCTGTAAAGTAGAAGAATAGTTTCTACCTCATGGTTTTGCGTGCGTGCTAAGTTGCTTCAGTCGTATCCTACTCTTTGTGACCCTATGGACTGTAAACTGCCAGGCTCCTCTGTCCATGGGATTCTCCAGGCCAGAATCCTGGAGTGGGTTGCCATGCCCTCCCTCCTCCAGGGGATCTTCCCAGTCCAGGGATGGGATCCTCCCAGTCCAGGGATGGAAGCTGCATCTCTTACATCTCCTGCATTGGCAGGCAGGTTCTTTACCACTAACCTCGCCTGGGAAGCCCCACCTCATGGTTTTGATGAGGCCTAAATGAGATACCTGGCCCACCGTGAATGCTGAAAAGCTGGTAGGTAGGTTTTATTTCATTAAGCCAATAAAACATGAGACGCATGACATATGCAAATCATAGCCAGCTCAGAGAGAGAAGAAAACGGGGACTGGTAGCTGGCGTTTCAGAGGTGAACTAGGCTCACAGGGACAGGGCCTTCAGTAGGTGCTGAGATGACCAACAGTAGAGCACAAGCATTTCATATTGTTTCTGCTGTACAATTTCACATCTGCCTTGCTGGAGAATATTAAGTGACTGCTAAAATGAGTGTAGGTCATCACATGAAACAAAGCACGTGCTATAAGCTGGCTGTTTCTGCTTCTTTGGAAGTAAATGAAGCATATGCTCACTACAGTTTATAACTGTAGAGGGAACTGTCTTGAAAACTACACTGTTTCAAGGATGGTAAGACTCTTGCCACACAGGGAGGGTGTGGCACTCAGGATGCCAGGCTGAAGGGAGCTGCTCATCACGCAGTGCAGAGGCCGTGTGCATCTGAGACTGACCTCTTGTGAGATGTGTATCTGTATCTCTCCCAACCCTGGAACAGAGATCCCTGCATATACATAGTACATGGACCCCTCAGGAATGACTATTGTGTACCCCTTTTATGGATATATATATAAGAGAAGTTGGAAGAATCAGACACAAGTGGCTGCATTCAGAGTGTAACTGGTACAACAGTAATCTTGACAAGTTTAGTACACGTTCATTTTTTCAGGATATGTTTGTTACTGTGTTCCAGAAGCTGTTCTAGACACTGAAAAAAAATACATATATTCTTGCCAACAACCTTTTGAGATACAGACTATTGAAACTGAGGTATCGAGGCATTGTCATTTGCTGGAGAATGCACAGTTAATTTCTAGCACAGCCAAGAAGATGTTTTCAGTGCCTCTGCATTTAACCTAATCTCAGGTAACTGAGGCCTCCTGCAGTTCTCTTTGGTGGAGAAGAATGACTCAAGTCTGCTTTTAGGAATAGCTCGTAAAATCACAGCTATCGTAAAATTGGCTATTGTAAAATCATGTGCAGGAAGGATTTGCACACAGGCCCAGCGCAGAAGGGAGGGGCAGCTTCTTGCTGGTTAAAAAAAAAGAGAGAGAGAGAGTGTTCTCTTTGACCCACTTGCTGAACTGTCTCAGGGGATTTCCGTAGGGTAGGCTCTCTTAAAGCAGTTTAAAAGCTGAAAAAAAGAAACAACCAATTTCTCTTTTTCTTCAACAATTAGGCTATGGTCTTGATAAGAGGATGCATCCTTATTAAATGTTGAAACTGGATTCTGTCCAGCTGAACCAAGCTTACTGCATAGTACAAAAGTGATTTCTCTAAGTTCCTGTTTTTCAGGGTCCTAAAATGTGTTGTGGGCATCTTTCATGTAGGAAAATTGGTAAAAACCAGTGCTTCAGGCTAGAGATTGGCAAGTTAAAAAAAAAAAAAATGACTCTTGGGACTGAGGCCTCCAGCTCTGAACTGTCGGTCCTTCTCCTGCACGTGTGGAACAAGCAGGCTGGATGTCTGTGGTCTCCAGTGAGCCCTGAGCCTCATTCACAGCCCACCCCTGGCGTGCCCGAGGCCTCCTACTCTGTACACGCTGCTATTTTCTTCCTGGTTTCGAGGGCCGGTTCTAATGATTGCTTTTTCCTGTGTTCATATTTTTAATCTCCAAACTGTTGTTTTACCATTTTATTTGTGGTGAGTGAAGAAATTCTTTCACGTATGTGTTGGTGGCTCAGTCGTGCTGACCTTTTGCAGTCCCAGGCACTGTAGCCCACCAGGCACAGATTCTTTGCTGTCTGAGTCAGCAGGGAAGCCCAACCCTTCGTGGAGGATATAAAAAAAAATCAGGGCGTATTTAACCCTTTCTGGAGCCTTATGGCTCCCATTTGCTCACACCTGAGCTGCAGGTTGGAGAAAAAATGTAAAAGAATGTAGCCCAGAAAGAATGTGGCCCTTTTACTGTCCCTCCCTTTGAGGAATGCTCCTCCTCACCTCTTTCAGGAAACACAGAGACAGCCCCGGAGCCTGCAACCCACTCCAAGCTAGGCCTCTGTCCCTGGGGTATGCCCCCTCCATCCCCGTTCTGGTTAGCTTGATAGGTTTGGGAGGAGGGGTCAGAGCCAGATTTTGTCTTGAAGGAATGTTCCCAGTTTCTCTTCTGCTTTCCTACACTGAAGATACTTCTTCCTCTAGATTTTTGTTCTCTAAAAGTAGACTGCTTTTTAAAATTAAGGCTGTGGAAGGCCATTTCTAGAGGGCAGGGAAAGTTCTGTTTCTGATGTGGTGCTGGCTATGTGAGAGTTCATTGAATAACAACTTGGAATTGTATGCTTACAGTTTGTGTACTTTTCCGTATGTCTATTTCACCTGAAGGACAAAATGAAGATTTTGTGATTTATTATGAGGAGTAGCAACTCGTCTGTTACCAAGGAAGAAAAAATTAAGGAAGATGATACAAGAAGAGACGAATTGATTTTGATTGATGTGAAAATGGGGAGTCTGAGGTGAAAGTGGGCAGCGACCCAAGAATTTTAGGTATTTGTCCTCAAGATGTCTGCAACTTTTAAATAGTGTTTGTTATTACAGTAGTGGAAGATTGGAAACAATGAAATATCAAGTAATGGTTAAATAATGGCACAACCAAAAATGAATTATGACTTTGCTATTAAGAAGTAAGCCATAAATGTTTGTTTATTAAAGCCACTTACAAAAGCATGCTGCTGCTGCTGCTGCTAAGTCATATAAAAGCATAGTGCAATCCCACTTTAAAAAGTCATATATTTTATATGTAGGCACAGAAAATAATCAGGAAGAATGTAGCCCATAATATTAACAACGGATTATCCCTGAGATAAAGAATTATGGATGATTCTTACTACCTTAGCTACATTTTTTCTTCCAGTGAGCATGCATTTTTTGCAGAACACAGAAAGAAAGGAAATGCCTTGTAGGGCTGCAGCTGGGCTCTTAGCCTCCTCACCAGAGTCTGTCTGCCACATCCCCTCAGCTGCTAGCCTGGGGTGGCCATGGCCCGTGCCAGCCTGCTCGGTCACAATTCTCCCTTTGCAAACTGTAAAAACTCACCGATGACCCAGGGGCATGTTTGAATACAGAATCCCAATGTTTAGAGAGAGTTGAACTCCATTCAACTTTCCTGACATTCAAATCATGCTTGCAGAGGGCGGCCTTTCCTCTTTCATGGGTTCCTCTGCAACACAAGGGCTGGGAGAACCATCTTGCCTCCAGGCTGGAATTTCTCAGAGATTTTCTTCAGAGGTCAGGTTGCTCATTTTCCAGGGTTCAGTTCACTCCTTCCACTTCATTGGAAGAATTCCTATCATCTGTATCATTTCATGCTTGATTATAAAAAAATAATCTGATCCTGTTAGCAGTCTCACAGAACTCTGTCAAGTTTTCTTGACCTATTTCATTATTTCATCGAAGCTCTGGGTGCATCATGGGTCTATCTCAGGTGCTTCAGGCGAGGCTCTGGGTGCAGTCATGGGTCTACCACAGGTACTTCAGAAAAAACTAGTTCTCTTGAGGCTTGAGATCCAGCTCCCAACGCTGAGACAGAGGCCTCTGGAAGAAAGACCTCAGTGGTATGGAGTCCGTGCTAGGACTCTGATCCAGCTGTTCCCCATCTCTGGGCCTCAGCATCCTCCTTTGTAAAATGGGTGGAGGAGAAGTTTGAGCTGAGTGGGTGCCGAGGCCCCCACCAGTTCTCACAGCCAGGTTCTGAGAACACAGCTTGCGGTAGCTCTGGCCTGCCCGCCCTCTACCCCAATATGGGAGCACAACAGCATGATAACCCTTGTGGTATGCCGTAGACACGACAGTCTTGTTTTGTATTGAAGTAAATAATAATGAAAAAGTAATTCTTTCCACCCCACCCCCATGAAAAATAATAATAATGAGAAGGAAGGAAGCGCTGGAGAAATCAAAAGGGAAGGATTCTTGCTCTCCATTAAGAGAGTTCTCAGTCTGAAGTCTTGTAGTGGCTGTTGCACGGGGCCCATCGCCATGTTAGACATATTTCTCTGAAGGGCTGGGCTTGCCTGCTTGTCTGACCACGGGCCTGAAAGAGAGGTGGGTGACCGTCAGTGCAGCAAGAGCCCCTGCAATTTGATGCAGCATCCATCCATGTCTACCCACACCCACCCCCACACCAGTTTCCCAGCCTTCATGGGGGTCTGAGGACTTGTCCCCAGGCCACCAGCATGGGACTGGGTGAAGGACCTCAGCAACCCTGCCAAAAACTTTCCTTGTGCCATCTTGAGATGAGAGGCTGGCGAACGTGCCCAAGGTCATGTAGCTAGGAGGGGTTGGAGCCAGCATCTGAAGCTAGTTAGTCTAGCTTCTTAGAGACTTTGTCAAGGTCCCCATGGAGGTGTGAGAGCAGGCTGATAACCAAGCCATCATCTGAGTTGATTCTCAGCCCTTGAGAGGATCACAGCGATAGGGGAGGATGTGAATAAACCACCATCTGTCAGTCAAGTAGAGCTACTTTACCTAAAAGTCCCTTTGATAACCCAAAATTGATGTGTTAATTCACTACTGGGCTAGCACCTTCTAAATGGGCTGATTCATCATGTCTTGTCTATACACACCATTCTTCAAAACCTCTGGGTTGAAGCTGAGCTGCCCTTGGTCATCACTGAGCTTATTAACTCAGGTGTGTGAATTGGTCATAGTTTTGATCTGCATGGTTTTGTATTTTGGACAAGGTTTTATTCTCAGTTACTCATTTCAAAATTTCAGAAAAGATAGAGATAAGGGATAATTCTCCTTCAAAAACTTCCCAGTATTGACTGCTAAAAAAATCCTTCTCTGCTCTTAAAGAGTATCCATTAATATATCACCTCTAGTATATGCATTGGAAATTTATTACATTTCCATTGTTAAAAAATAACAATGTATAAGACACTGAACTTGGGTTTCTGCAGAGAGATATCAAGGAGTGTGAAATGCAAACCTCAGGTATAAAATTTGAAACATTTTCATCTACTGAAAGGAACTGGTGAATAGAGTTGGTTATGTTAACTCCCTCTGCCCTGGCCCCCAACCACAAAGAGGAGCCTGGGCTTTGAACAGAAGTTGCAGCTCTCCTGCTTGCTAGCAGTATGGCCTCAGACAAGTCACTTAAGGTTCTAAGCCTCAGTTTCCTCATCTATAAAATGGTAACCACACTGACTACTTTAAGGGTTGTTATGAAACTTGAAACTTAAAAACTTTGTATATATCCATATATATAAAGCACTGGTAAACTTTAAGGTTGTTATGATTGAGTTGGCCAGAAAGTTCATTTAGGTTTTTCCCAAAACCTAAATGAACTTTCTGGCCAACCCAATATTACTGATGGGTGGCTCAGTGGTAAAGAATCCACCTACCAAGCAGCAGACATGGGTTTGATTCCTGGGTTGGGAAGATCCTCCGGAGAAGGAAAAGGCAACCCACTCCAGTATTCTTGCCTAGGAAATCCCATGGACAAAGGAGTCTAGGGGGATCGCAAAGACTTGGACACAACTGAGCAACTAAACAACAGCATTATTGTTAGCTGACGTGCAGGCATGATGACTCTGCCACCTTGGCTAGCTTCCCTGATCTCTGAGCCAGTGATCTGTAAGATGGCACTGTGGTATCCCCCTATCGGTTGCTGTGAGCATAAGGAATTCCCTGGGTGTGACTCCCATCACTGTGCTGGGCTAGAGAGGGCACTTGCTAGATGTCAGGGCAGTGCTGCCTCAGACCAAGCTGGAAGGAGAAAGGAGGCTGAGGCCTCTCTTTCAGACACTGTTTTTCACTTATGTCTTTTCCTGATCATTTCAGAGTGATCATGAGCTAGAATTGGATGAGGGAGTCACTTGAACTGCCAGATAGTTCTTTGCCTCTATCCCTGACTCCCCCTTCTTCCCCCTCCAGTCCTTGGCAGTAAATCAAGGCCCTGAGTTGCCACAGGGAAATGAGAAACTGAGGCCTTTTTTTTTTTTAATCAAGTGATTTTTGGTTCAGGTGATAAAACTGACTCTCCCCCCCCACCCCGACCCCTGCCAACCCCCAAAAGCTAGACCAAACCAATGGGAAAATTAAAAAGTTTTCTTAAAAATAAATAAATAAATAAATAAATAAAAAGTTTTCTTAAGAAAACAACAAGACTCAGACTTCCTTGGTGGTCCAGTGGCTAGGACTCTGTGCTCCCACTGCAGGGGACCCAGGTTTGATCCCTGGTCAGGGAACTAGATCCCACATGCTGCAGCTAAGAGTTCACATGCCACTGCTAAGGATCCTGTGTGCCACAATTAAGACCCAGTGCAGCCAAATAAATAAAAACTTTAAAAGAAAGAAATCAGTATTTATGAAAGAAAGAAAGAAAACAAGACTCAGACAGAATCGCCAGATAAAAGAACCTCGGGGCTTTGGCAGGTGGCGCAGCAGTAAAGAATCCGCCTGCCAATGCAGAAGACAAAACAGAAGTGTGTTCGAGCCCTAAGTCGGGAAGATCCCCTGGAGGAGGAAATGGCAACCCACTCCAGCGTTCTTGCCTGGAGAATCCCATGGACAGAGAAGTCTGGTGGGTGTCCACGGGGTTGCAAAGAGTCAGACATGACTGAGCACGCGTGGATATAGGATTAAGTGGGGGAATTCTTCAGGTTAGGCCAAATAAGATGGACATTTCCTAAAATCACACTGCTTTGCCCGTTAGCCCAACTTGGCCTCCATCTCCTCCCCAGTGTCAGCCTTCTGCCTGCATCTGTTCAGACACTATGGTAACTCCCTGGACCTCAGGGCTCTGGTGCCATGGCCTAGAAAAGATTCCCACCATCTGCTGCCTGGGGTGAGAAGGTCCAGAGATTATAAGAGACTGACCTGGGACATTTGCAGACACGTCTTCGGTTTCCTGGATAAGGAAAAAGAAGGGGTAAAATGACTATCTCACCATGACCAATAGTTCCAAACATGATTTCTGCTTCACTTTTCCTATTTATTTAGGATTATAAGTTTTTTTTCTAGTGTGGCTATGACTATTTTATTCAAAGCAAACAATAACTACATCAACATTATAAAAAATACATCATAGGTGTTTGGTGGTCTGGTGTATAGGACTCCGCACTGCCAATGCAGAGGGCCAGGGTTTGATCCTTGATCAGGAAACTAGATCCTACATGCTGAAACTATTAATAAAAGATCCCATATGCCCTGACTAAAACCCAGCGCAGCCAAATAAGTAAATATTTGGAAAAAATACATCATAATAAAGTAAATTTGTAAAATGACAGAGCATAATAATGATTGACACTGAAAAGATTAATTTACTAAAACACAAGCTATAAAGCATAATATATTTACATTTTATGGTTTTAATAATTATTATTAAAAGCAAAAATTTGAAGTATAGTTGATTTACAATATTGTGTTAGATTCAGATGTACAGTAAAGTGATTCAGTTTAATATATATAAATATATAATATATATATATGTAAATATATTGGGCTTCCCTGGTGGCTCAGATGGTAAAGAATCTGCCTGCAATGCAGGAGATCCAGGTTTGATTCCTGGGTCAGGAAAATCCGCTAGAGGAGGAAATGACAACCCACTCTACTATTCTTGGACAGAGGAGCCTGGTGGGCTACAGTCCATGGGGTCCCAAAGAGTCGGATGTGACTGAGGGAATAACACATATACATATATATGTAAATGTATATATACATGTATATGTAAATAAATATTTCAGATTCTTTTCCCTTATAGATAATTACAAGATATTGAATATAGTGCTATGCAGTAAGTAGCATTTAACTCCTGAGAACTGAGGTGAGGTCTTCTTTCCCACCCCTCTTCACATCAATTTAAAAAGCATTGCAAATACAGACTTGGCTGAACGTGGGTTAGTACGGCCACGTGCAGTAGGATCCAAATTGGGGTGGGGCCTCTCAAGGAGGGGGCCAAGGATAAACCACTGCCTGTAGTGGTTTTGACCCGGGCCTCCTGGGCACTGGTCCCCGGGCCACAGCCGGGCCCCGCCCTGCCCCCATCCCCATCCCAGGCGTTTGTAATAAGCCCAGACCTGCGGGCTTTGCGGGTGGAACACCCCACCCCTGCCGCTGCCGCTCCGGGGATGGGGCTCTGCCTTCCTAAAGGCTTCCTGGGGTGTGGAAAGAGAAGGGGTTTCCCCTGTGTTCTCTCTCCAGGAAAGACATAGGCAGTGCCTGGCCCTGCGGTGCAACTCGAAGTTCCAGAAATCCGAACCCAACTGAACTGCCCGCAAGGTCTGCCTAGAGCAAAGCGATGCAAAAATCGGGCTGAATCTTCCCGCGCGATTTCCCAGGACTTACGGCGGTAGCAGATGCCTGTGATGACCAACGACAGGAGAAGGACGGCGCAGGTCCCGACCAGGGGAGCCCAGATGTAGATATCGCAGGCGAAGTCCAGCCGGCTCGTGTCCACTGTCGGCACAGAAGACGCGGACATTTAGGAGAGGGCCCAGGATCCCCAACCCCACCCTGGGGACCCCTCCCCCCTCATCCCACCCCGGTGGCGCGGGCACGTCCCTTTCCCGGTTCCGGCTCTCGTTCCCCCACAGCTTGTGCTGCTAGGAAAATCAGTGGGGCCCCGGCGAGGGCCTTTGCCGCGCCCGCCTCACCTGCGCTGCCCGCCGAGGGCCGGCACACCTCTGAGCGCGGAGAAACAGACCTAGTCTGAGGCGCGATGGTGGGCGCCCGCGTGGATGGCCGCATCGCCGGCGTGGTGGCGGGCTTCGCTGCGGGAGCAATCGAGAGTGCTTAGGGGCCGCGTTGGAGCTGTGCCCGCGAACCCTCCCCACCTCTCCGCCAGCCTTTGCCAAGGGGGCGCTCCCTCCGGATTAGCCACTGGAGGAGCCGTAGAGGCTCGGCGGAGCTCGGCGCTCAGCGCAAGGAGATGCTGAAAGACCACCTGGTCGTCTGAGAGCACTGGGTGCCTTGGGCATAAACACAGAGGCCCGTGCCCCTCCGCCCGGCCTCTCTCCAGGGCCCCACCAGAAACCTCGAGGGCTTGGAGGAGGCGCGGGTGGGAGGGTGGGACACCCGCCTTCTACTGACCAGCAGAGGGAAGCTCAGATAATTTAAGTGCAATGACTGGCCCAGGATCATACCAGCTCGGAACTCGAGCCCAGAGCAACCAGACCTAAAAGGTCACCTTGAATTACTACGCAGTCGCACCCTAGCCTCAGTTTCCTCGACTGTGAATTGGGAACAGTTCCAGCCCCCAGAGGCTCGAACCCCAAGAGACTCGAAAGTAGCTGTGTCCGTGTGTAAAACGGACTCAGACGTGAACCCCAAAGCCCACCCGGGGCGCCCGAACCTGGCAAGAAGACAGGTACGAAGTTACTGAAGTACAGGATCGAGTTGCTCAAGACCGAGCAAAAGTAGTAGCCTTGGTCCTCCTGGCGGAAACTGCTCAGGGTGAGCTGGAATCTGGAGTTGGCGACCTTGGAGCCGGAAATGTGTTTGGGGTCCAGTCCCTCGGCTAGCTTGGGCCGTTGGCCGGAGAGGTACATTAGGAAGATGGGTCTGGGGTCGTCCCCGGGTATCTGGCGGAGCCAGGAGCACCCTGATGCCATGCCGGACTGCAGCAACTCGCATTGCAGCTCCACCTTCTCGCCCAGTCTGGTCTCCTTCTTCGTCGGCGACATCCGGAACGAGAGCGACCCGAGGACCGTGGCAGCATCTGCGGGGCACGGGCAGCGAGGCTGAGCCGGGAGCCCCGCGCTGCCCCCCCTCCCCACCGCCCCCCCCCCCCATCCCATGCCAGCCCCGCCCCCGCCTCCCCCAGGGATCGCCAGCTCACGGAGCAGCAGCAGGGCCAGGGGCAGGATCGGGGCGGTCAAGAGTGAGGCCATGGTGCGCTCCCTGCCGCGGAAGCTCCGAGGCGCGCAGGAGCCAGTGGATCACCGACGGGGCCGGGGGAAGTTTCGCCCTTCGACCGGCCGCCGAGCCCGATTTCGCATTCGGAGGATGTGATGTCACTTGAAGCCCCGCGGAGAAGAGAGTCGCCCTCCTTTTCGCGGTTGTCACCCTCCAGCCCAGAGAGCGGTGGGGGTGTGGGGGTCCGTGAATGGGGCCCGTCGACGCAATCTGGCCGGGTGGAGAACAAGGACAAGGATGGATGGAAGTGGCCCTTGGAAGGGCTCTCTTGTGGGTGTGACAGAGGCAGAACATACAGATGAGAGATTTCTAGAAGGGAGGGTGAGCGAGCAGGAATGCGAGAGAACTGTCCACTTCCTTTGACCTCAGTCAAAGAGGCACTGGCACCGGCAACTTGGGGCTTTAGGTTCCGGGAAGTGGGCCCTGCGGGCTGAGACTAAGAGGAGTTAGTGACTGGCCCACGTCTGCCGAACTCGGACAGGGGAGTCCGGGTGCCCACAGAGAAAAAAACCTTCTTCCTTCCATTGAGCAGATTTCCACCAGTCAGCCGGTCAGCAGTTTGTGGGGCTTGTGATTTTCTGCTCCTCACGCTCTTTCCTCAGCTGTGAAACCTGGCCACCACAGCCTCGTTCCTTCGAGGCCACTGCAGCAGCCTCCACACTAGCCCCTGTTCTGGCCAGTCCCCCAACCACACTGCTATGAACAGTATTCTCCAAAAGGGAATGTGATGGTGTCACTCTTGAAGCCTCCTGGTGACCTGCAGGTCTGCGTGGAAGCTCAGCCCTGCCTTGGCTTGGAGCCTCTGAGTGCTGGCTCTGCCCAGCCCCCTGCCCAGCCTCCTGCCCAGGCCCCTGCCCTAGTCTTTCCTATTCACCCCCCACTACATGCCCATAGGATTATCTTATGGTGTGCCCAGTCAGTTATGGGACTCTTTGCGACCCTGTGGACTGTAGCCTGCCAGGCTCCTCTGTCCATGGCATTTTCCAGGCAAGAATACTGCCAGTGGGTTGCCGTTTCCTACTGCAGGGAAATCTTCCCAAGCCAGGAATCAAACCCGTCTCTCTTGTGTCTCCTGTGTTGGCAGGCAGATTCTTTATCACTAGCGCCATTGATGATCTGAACTGTGGGCTCCCCGCGCTGGAATGCGCTTCTGTTTCAGCCCCTGGCCAGCTCTCAAGCCTTGGGACCTGAATCTCATTCTTCTGGCTCTGGGTGCTTGGCAGGCACATGTGTCAGCCTGGGTGGAGATGGTTCTTCCTGTCTGAACCTGACACACACACGGCCCCTTCCTTTTTTGTCTGCTGCTGTCCTGAAACCTTCCACCCCATAGTGGGTCCCCTCTCTCATTTCTTCCGGGTCGTCCCACTTTGCATCCCATAGTGCAGCGATCCCCAGACTTTTTGACATCAGGGACCAGTTTAGTGGAAGACAACTTTTCCACTGACTGGAGGCAGGGAATGGTTTGGTGAAGATTCAAGCACATTTTATTTTTTATTATTATTATTATTACATCAGTTCCACTTCAGATCATCAGGCGTTAGATCCCAGGGGTTGGGGACCCCTGCCACAGTGCGTGCCCCGCATGCTGCTGTCCCGGTTTCTAGAGACAAACCACCTGGTGTTATCTGTTCCATGTGTCTGCCCCATCCATGAGTTCTGCCCGGTGGCAAGGCCTATGTCCCAGACGTCACATGTCATATCACGGCAGGCTGAGCTGTGTTTGCAAAACTGCAAAACCCTCTTCATGAGCCTGAGCTTGAGTGTTGGATGGGATTTTTTTTTTTAACTTTGATGTCAACCCTCTCCCTCACCCCTCTACCCAGGGCGTCCAAGGTACTTACTCTAACACACACCGTTTAACGTTTTATACTTAGAGATTTTTTTTAAGGTGTCTTTTAAATTACAAAAGTTATATATTATTGAAAAACTTCAGACAATACAAAAAAAGAGTATGGGGAAGTTTCCCTGTCTCAACTCTCCGCCCATTGTCCATTCTCTAGAGAAAACCACTTATGTATGCCCCTCATATATAGTCTATGCACAGATACTTATACATCATTTTAGACACATAGTTGTACCATACACATATTTTTTGCAACCTGCATTTTTTTAATCTGACAGTAGACGAGGAAAGCTTTTCATGTCAGCACCTTTAGATCCACCCATACTTCTAAAGGGGTGTATTTTAATATGCTTAGTCGTGTTTAAGACTCTTTTTTTGACCCCAGGGGCTGTAGCCCACCAGGTTCCTCTGTCCATGGGATTTCCCAGGCAGGAATACTTGAGTGGGTTGCCATTTCCTTCTCCAGCATTTTATATGAGTGTTCCATAATTTAGTTTCCCTATTAACAGATATTTAAGGAGTTTCTCAATTTTTAAAAAAGCACTTCTTTACTTATTTGGTTGTGCTGGGTCTTAGTTGCAGCAGGTGGGATCTAATTCCCTGACCAGGGATGGAACCCCAGGCTCCCTGGATTGGGAGTGTGGAATCTTAGCCACTGGACCACCAGGAAAGTCCCAGCAGTTTCTCAATTTTTGCAATTACTAGTAAGGCTGTAGTAGATCCAGTGCATCTGTATCATTGAGCAGTCACTCATGTACATGGAACATTTTCAAATGGAGGACTAGGGAGGTTGAGGAAGGAAAACCCTTTGTAATAATGGATATGACTGTGGCACACAGCAGTGGTTCCCCTGGCATACCAATATGTGTGTGTGTTGTGTACCTGGCTGTGTAGACACAGCCTTAACTCACATGTGCCTTAACTCACATGAGTGAGGGTGACAAGGAAACAGCCAAGTCCAGATAGGCCACTGACAAGGCAATCCTCATTTTAGATAATTTCCCATTTTGCTTCATCTCTGTTCCCACTGCAGGAGTGTTAAATGGCCCTTTTGGCTAAAGGATGCCGTCAGGAGGGTGGTAAAGAGTATGGCTGGCCACGAAGGTGCACCTTGCTGGTGGAGGAAGCATTGGAGGGGAGCCAGAGTCAACCTGCAGATATTTGGATCTTGGGTACCAGGTTCCTGAGGATGACGATGCCCAGACTCTGGGGTACAAAGCTTGAAAATAGAATCATCCTATTCCACTCTCCCGGAAGTGAGCTGTAACTGGCATGGAGGTCTTCTAGCCTTGCAACTTAGTAACATGTCAACCAGGGGGCTGGTGGCCCCCTTGTGCAGAGCATGACAGAAGATGGGGGGATGTCAAGGCAACATGTCAAACCCACCAAGGAGGCTCTGTGACCCCAATGTTATTTTTCAGAGAACTGGTAGATTTTCGGCATAACCACAATGACATCCGCCCTGTCGCAGACAGAGCAGATGCAACAGTGCACGTTCTGGCGATGCTTGTGTGCTGTAGGGCCAGGTGTGCAGAGGGCTGAGTGAGGCCTGCCAGGTGAGCTCCGCATCCCACACTGGCACTCACATGGTGTAGATGAAGAAATGGGAGCAGCCTCACTGTCAAGTAAACTTATTTTTAAACACATTCAGGGAGTGACAGGGTAACGGAGTCACCAGTTTCTATGACAGAGAGGCTAGCACTCTTCCAGGGCTTCTGGCCCCTTTCAGTGAAGATCTTGTCCTGCTAACCTGGTCTGTGCTCCATCCTGCCAGGCCTTTCCACGGTCCCTTAGAAAACACCAGTTTTTATGCTGATTTAAACAGGTCACCAGTTTCTAGGCCGAATTTAAGCAGGTCTTTGTTTTCCTCAAGGTATAGATTATTTTTTTTTAATGTTTTTTAATGTGGCCCATTGTAAAAGTCTTTATTGAATGTGTTACAATATTGCCTCTGTTTTATGATTTGTTTTTTTTGGCAGTGAGGTGTGTAGAATCTTAACTCCCTGACCGGGAATCAAACCCACATTCCCTGCATTGAAAGGCAAAATGATAACCAATGAACCACCAGGGAAGTCCGAAGGTGTATGCCCGTAAACCACAGAAATACTCAGCGGAAAAGAAACCACTTGCCAAGCAGGAGACACAGGTTCAATCCCTGGGTCAGGAAGATCCCCTGGAGAAGGAAATGGCAACCCACTCCAGTATTCTTGCCCGGGAAATCCTATGGATAGAGGAGACTAGTGGGCTACAGTCCATGGGATCACAAAAGAGTTGGACACGATGGAGCATGCACACACATATTCACACACATTAATTAAAGACCTATTCAGAATGTATAACTGGGTGGGGTAGTGGTAGGAGATTAGTCAGGCCCCTGTGCCCCAGCTCCTAAGATGCTGACTCAGGACCAACCTGGAATCATGGTGTTGGAAGCTAGCTGTTGTCTCCCCTTGCTGGTCCAGGAGATAGTACTATCTCCTGGAAAAGGGTTAGCCTCCTTGGGCCTAGAAGGGTTTTTGAACTCTAGAGTTATCAGGGCCTTGCTTTATCTCAATCACAAACACCTGTTAATCCTACCTCACTTCTGCCATTCCCACTTTCCTGTACTCTCAAGCCCCCAAGTTCAACTAGGCAATCGTCATGTCTTATCTTGACATTTTGCAGTGGCCTTCTAACTGACCACCCCACTTCCACTCTGGCCTCTTCGTGTGCTCCTGGTCCCTTTCAGTGAAAATCTGGTCCTGCTAATCCTGTGCTCCATCCTACAGGGGCTTCCTATGGTCCCAGGGGGAACACGGGGTGATCCTGAACGTTATTGGAGGCCCTGCACACTTGGCTCTGCAGCACCATCTCCATCGTCTCCTGTTTGCCTTCTTCACACCGCCTAAGCTTGGTGTCTCTTGGTTTCTCAAAGAGACCTTGCTCCCTTCCACCTCAGTGCCATTAAACATGCTATTCTTTTAGCCTGGATTGTTCTCAGCTCTGCTGTCTGCTTAGTAATCTCCTCTTTCTCAAGTCCCACCCCAAGCATCTCCTCCTCCTGGGGCTCAGTCCCTTACCCCCTCCCCCTGCTCCTAGGAAGTATAGACCATAGGCTTCTTGGTGTCACCTGGACCTTGGGCGTTCCTAGAC